CGCCGCCGCGGCAGCGGCGGCGGAAGTGGAGGAAGCGAGTCCGAGGCCTATGAAGCTGCGGACTTTGGTGAAGAACTTGTCTGGGAAAATTCTCATTTGCGCTGTTGCCGTTTCGCTTTCGCAAAATTGCGTTTTAATTTTTTTTTATATACTATTCTTTCACTGTTGAAAGGTCACTCTCGCAGTTTCGGCGGTTCGAATTAGCGATTGGAAAAAATATGCCGAATTTGAAGAATGGTGCGATTGAAACGAATTGAATGTGGGAGATGAGAAAGATTAATAATGCATCCTTTGCTTGACAAAGGCTGTGTCGACGTTAACGGAAAGAATGTGTATTGGTGTTGGTTTGGTTGTGATTTGTGAGCATTTCACATTTGCCAAGCCTTGATTGTTCTTTGCTTTGTTTTCTCCTTAGTTTGGTGGGTGGCTATTCCCAAAGCCCAAATGTCCCTGATCCGGAAAAGTTAAGAATAACACAGCTTGAAGTTGGTACTTTTCGTCAAGGGTCTTTCGGGTGTTTTATTTTTATTTTTTATTAGGCTAAATTATTTACTTGCTCTCTTTATTTATTTGTTGGATTTAATTTAGTTTCATTATTTTTAAATGAGTTAATTTAGTCTCACTTTATTTAAATAATATCAATATTGAATTTTAGTTTGATTAAGTTAAACGATGTTATCAAACATGTCATTGTCACTTTACAATATATTGATGTGATTTCATGGTTGTCTTTAAGATTTGTTTATTCTTCAATAACCACGTTTCTTCCCAAATTTGAAAGTCTAGAGTTTATTCTATTGAATTCGAGTTGACCATGATGCGATCCTCTTGCAACTATCATCCTATGAAGTCAGGTCACCTCAACCCAATCATGGTGTCACGTTACTCTCATGATGGTAAAAGTTAATCATTTGGTCTCCCTTACTAATGTTTGGATGTGGTCGATCACGTCTACAAATGTTGGGAAGAAGTTATGAGATTGTCCTTACTACAAGATTTGATGTTCAATCTATGGTGTGGTTTTTGGGATATATGTCCTAATTATAAGTTTGGGAAAAATAGTTTCTGATAAATGCCTTAACTTCATGGTCTATAGGAGTGTTCATGAATTGAATTTTTGAAAAATTCAAATTGAATTAAATCGGTCCATTTTATAAAACTAGATCGATTAACTAATCCATTTTATCAATTTGGTTTTTTAAAAATATAGATCGGATTTTTGAAATTGAATTGATTTGATATGGTGTAATTATCCATTTTTAACTCATATATGGATTAGTGTTTTAAAAAAAATTGAATCAAATCAATCCACTATATAAAAATGAATCGGATAATTGAATTGATTTTGTAAAATGGATCGATTCAATGTTTTTAAAAAAACATATCAGATTTTTTAATACGGATTAGATTGGTTATGGATTCGTGTAGATCGTTTTAGATTTTTTGCATGCTCCTAATGATATGGTATGTGTTTCTCTCATGTTGAAACAATTATTTTTCGTGTTCAGGGAGTTATTTCATGTATTTTGATATAACTTTTTTTTCAATAATGCTTACTTATACGTCCTTTAGAGTTTCTTTCTTTTGTTTTAGAGTAGCGATGATGAAGAGGTTGGATGCAATTTTTTTTTATGGTTTTTGATGAAGTTGTTGATAATAGAGATTTAGTGATTTTGAGATAGAAGGGAAAGATAATAGTCTCCAAAGTTCATTGAAGTCTACAAAATGGTAGATGAAGTTGTTGATCATTTTTGTGGTTGTTCTTTTATTGATGAATGTGATTTTCATCATTTTAATATGTAACAAAGTGCCTCAATTTGGAAGGAAGATGTATATGAAGTAGGGAATTATATATGCATAAATTAATGTTAAGTAGGAACTGGGTAGGTGTATTTGTTTACGTTCTTTCGTGTCTTTTGTAGCTAATGGCACATGTGCCTTTTCTATTGTAAGTTTCTGGTTATTAATATTTGGTCCATATGTAGCTCGCATTGTTGTAATGAATTGATGTTATTTTAGTAATGAAAAGGAAGAGATGTTTTATCTTAAATTGGTAACAAATTATTTTATTTGTTATTGCCTAATTTGTTTCATGAAAATAAAATTGTATAAGGGCATAATTTTTTTTGAATTGATATTTTGTATTATTAAACAAAATGATATGAATATAAAAGAGCATACTTAATTATTAAGCAACATTTAATTGATATTTTGTATTATTAAGCAAAAATGTATGAATATAAATGAGCACAATCAATTATTAACCCAACAAAATGGTATCACAATAAATTATTAAGCATAATGGTATCACAATCAATTATTAAGCATAATGGTATTATAGTCAATTAAGAATCACAACAAAATGGTATAGTCAAAATGTGATAGAGGACCATCCATGGAGCTTCATGTGAGACCCATCACTAAGCCAATGGCTGGGAGAGTGGAAGAGGATAGGGAAGTCAAAACCTTAGAAGACATGCTTCTCAAGATTAAAATACACTAATCACTCTCCTAAGCTTTGATAGCCTATAATTTATCTTTATGCCTATTTTGCCTTTGTCTTTCATTTTCTATTTTTACCCTTGTATTTTGGGGTATCTTAGACATAGGATCTATTTTACTTGTATTTCCAATTTTACCCTTGTATTTTGGGGTATTTTAGTCATAGGATTTATTTTCTTTTATATTTCCCATTTTACCCTTGTATTATGGGGTGCTTTAGATCATAGGTTTTTATTTTTGGGCTAAGGTATTTGATTAGGGTGGGAACAAAACCTAGACATATTTTTTGTGGCTCTTGGACCTATTTTTGGTGTTAGAAAGGCTTAGGCCCAAGTGGAGGGCAAAGGTTGCATGGTCTTATCATGCACCTAGATGTAGCCTAACTAATCCCAAAGATTTCATCCTTGGCCACCAAGTTGCATCTAGGGTTCATTTGCATTTCATTTGGTGTGCATTTGGCTTATGAATTTTGGCCATGCACTCTCCAAATGCAACCCTAGATGCCTCTCACTCCTATAAATACCCTAGACTATGCATCATGTAAATACTTTGGAATATATGAATTTGAGTGAGCATTTTTGCCTCAAACCTCTCCTTAGTCACTAGGTCTACACGGCCTACCACTCCTATCTCTTCCCTAGAATGAGTTTAGTGTTACCTTGAGTGGCCTTCATCTCCACTTGGTGAAGAGAGCCAACTAGAACACCCAAAAACACCATCCTCCCAACCTTTCTCCTATTCGCCAAAGACTCCACCTTTCGCGCCCACTATCACTTAGCCTCACCCTTGAAGGAACGTCCACCCTCTAAGGTCACCATCTTGGCCTTGGAAAGGAGCTCCTATTCACCATTGAACGTTTGATCATCCCCTTGGTGGAAGGAGTCATCATTTGGTATCAAGAGCTTAGGTTATCTTCAAGGGTAACTAGCTGCCTTTCCATTTTCTTTGAGCCTTTATTTCTTGAGTCTTGATTTGCGTCATCTTTGTGTCTCCTTATCATCCATGAAAGTTTTGTGATGGAAAACTTTAAATTTATTTAGTGCATATTTGGATTAGATTTTCAAACGTGATTGTACACTCTCTCTCCACGTTGAATATGAATTTTACCTGGAAGCAAAAACTTTTTGCTTCAACTAAACGTGAAAAATTACCTTTTTGAAGTGTGGGCATTTTCGTTATTAATTTGAGGATATAATATTTCCTCTTCAGCAGCAGTAAAGATACGCAAGTTAAAGTTGTTTGACCCCTTGTACCAGAACTCAGCAATATGTTTAGTTTTGATACCATAAAAATCTATCATTTCATTGACCCCTTTATTAAACATACCTATTGTTTTACATAAATTTTTGAGATAAACCTTGAACATATTCCCTTTTGGGTCAGTAATGATACACTCGCCTGGTTCTATTTTACAAATCCAGTACTTGTAAAAGTGTGCATTAATATAGATCCGACCCTACAGAAAATGAAAGAAGGATATATATATATATATATTATGAATACGATGGAATTATGTTAATTAAATTTAATTAACATACAATATAAGCAAGTTAGGTAAATTCTGTGAAGGACGACTTATACAAGTGGCGTATGGATGCATGACTTTTATTGAGCATTACATGTATGTAAACGTATTAATACACCCTATGACAGAACATGAAACTTTCATAATTTTGTATTGAAGTTTTAAAATTAAAAAAAAATTAAACGAAAAAAGTTAATGACCCTTCGTGATGTGTTTTTTTCATGTTGAAGGCGCCTTTGTGAATGTCAATAGCAGTTGCGTTGTTACATTCGAAGATGTGTTTTTTGGGTCATTTTAAAATTAATTACTTTAATACAAAATTGATAAACTTTTATCTTCTGTGATAGGGTGTATGATAGGTAATATGATTAGATGCATCTAATGCTGAATGAATGATAATCTCAGGAGTTAATTAATTTAATATTATATGTACGGTGATTATTGATGCAGCACGTATGCAGGACTTGTAAAAGTTGTCTATGAGAGACATGACCAAAAACTTCACCTTATTTGGGGTGACGTCGCATCGGAAGTGTGTTGGTGGGTTTTCCGGATCTGGGTCGTTTAAGAACTCCATTTTTCTACCTTGAAGGAGGAAAAAAGACAAGTAAAATGACGGGTTTAGGGTTTACGGTTGATGTTGTTCTGTTTTTTCATATATAAACCCTAGTGTAAAGCTAAAAAGAGATAATGATAAAATAATGTATGGCATGCATCGAGATCGTCATAAATCAATGTGGGTTATACATGCAATCAAAAACATTGATTTTATTTTTATGATACACATGAATAACAGTGTAAAGGAGGAATTTTAATGATTAATCGGTAAAAAAAAGTGCATTTTTTACAACAACGACAATGAATAGGAAGAAGTTACCGATAGAAGGACAATGAAGTTGTTCAGATGAGTGTGCGAAGAAGATGAGTCTGGCAAGAAGATGAGTGTGCGAAGGAGATTACTTTCGGAAGAAGATGAAAGTTGTTTTTTGTGTTGTAGTTGGTTCGGCGACACAGAATGGTGAAAGGATGTCACTTTATCTCTGTTTAGGAGACCCCTTTGAACCGTTGGAATTGGTGAAAAACTGAAAAATAAAAAGTGAGTCATTGTTGCCCCGTTTCCGCAGTCGTTTTGTTTTGAAACGTCAACAGCTGTCGGGGAATAAAGACTGTGGTTTTTGTATTTTTGAATATTAAAATGACCCCACTCTACCTTCCGGTATCAGTAATAAGTATTTATTGTAATGGAAAAACCATATGGGGTGGTTTAATTTGTTTAATTATATTATTATTATACATTAAATTGAACATTAAGAATTTGTCACCGTGTAATCCGGAAGTTGAGAAATATAAAAATTTAAAAAAAATTAGGATTCTTTAATAAAAAAGTAATGTTTTGAGTTTATTGTTTTATTTATGAA